TGGAAGAAACTTAAAAAGCGCTTGGTACCACGCGATAGAGCACAACCGAAAACGGTATATGATCCATAAGAATGAAAATCGATGTCAATCTTAGGAGTGTTTTTGCGCCTAATGCGAATTTTGAGCGGTTCATAATTTTACGAACATTTCAAACAAAGGTCCATTTTTCATGCAAGATTGCAATCTCTCGAGTCCAAATTTTTTGTAGAGTTACAGTAACAAAGTCCGAAACATCCGCTACACACTGAACCCAGTGCAGAAAAGAGGATCTTTACTTTTTTCAGATGGCTCTAAATGCTTTTGAAGTGATTGCGCTCCAAAAACATCCGTTCTTCTGTAGTTCACGCACCCTAATTAGCTTCCACCAAGGCTATGAGATAAAATAAGCTTCTTCGATAGGTATTTTGTTTGACGCTTGGAAAATCTATGCGTTTTCGTGCCGCTTTTCAAGCAAGTTCCAACCTCACCCTAAAATTAGCACGATTTCGAGCCTCAAAACTCAGCTTTTCTTCCTCGCAAACACTTGATATGAAGCAGCTGCATTGTTTGCATGGTGATGTATCCATGTCAAAGTTATTGGGTTTTTTGTAGAACTGATCTTGAGGCTATGGAGCTACAAACCAAATAAAGGTGTGACTGCAATAGTAAGAACAGTGGTTTTGGTGAAATGACGTCTGCGTGGCCGAAACAAACGCTCAATGCTGCTGATTTTTTCTAGCCAAATACACAGTCTTGTGAACTTCTACATACTATAAGCTTACTTCATTGTAGGGCTTCAGAAGCTGAGTTTAGAGGTTTGAAATCGTGCTAACTCTAGGGTAAGTTTGAAACTTGGTGGAAAACCGGCACGGAAACGCAAATATTTTTCAAGCGTCAAACAGAATACCTATCGAAGAAGCTTATTTTATTTCATAAGCTTGGTGGAAGCTAATTAGAGTGCGTGAACTACAGAAGAATGGATGTTTTTGGAGCGCAATACTCCAAAAGCATTTAGAGCAATCTGAAAAATAAAGGTCCTCTTTTTGAACTACACTGGGTTCAGTGTGTAGCGGATGTTTCAGACTTTGTTACTGTAACTCTACAAAAAATTTGGACTCGAAAGATTGCACTCGCGAATGAAAAATCGGCCTTTTTGAGGTGTTCGTATAATTATGAATCGCTCGAAATTCGTATTAGGCGCAAAAACACTCCTAAGATTGACATCGATTTCCATTCGTATGGATCATATACCGTTTTCGGCTGTGCTCTATCGCGTGGTACCAACGGCTTTTCAAGTTTTTTCCAAAAAGTCCAAAAACTTTCAAAATTCAAGGTGTTCGTATAATTATGAACCGCACTTTATATTCTGTCATGAATTTGATGCATTCAATGTGAAGTACTACACTCAAGAGTACACTGTCTTGCAAAAAAACGATAAGAGCAAGCTTCTTCAAGTTTTCTATGCACCAGCGCTGCTTAAAAGTATGAATCACATGCAATTTTAGCAGTGAAATAGGTAACAATCTCAAATTTTGGCGCAAGGTTGTAAGAGAGTCACATCCACATCTGGAACAGTTCGAACAGCATATTCTACAACTGTTGGTAGCATTCGAATTTCTTACAAGTAAGACATAGTATTGTGATATTGATTAGCCGAACACTCCGAAGTACGCAGGGTTACGCGAGAAACCTGCTAAAGAGGGCTACGACTATGTATCATATATCGAATATCGAGCGATTCATGCTAGTTGCTATGCGATCGCGGCAGAGGTAAACGTAGCGAAATGTCAACATGTGACAAAAGCATGTATGCAGCGTCAGCATAATATTGTCAAAGCTTTTTTGCGATAGAGCTTCGAAAAGCAAAAATGTAATGAATGAGTTTTCATATAAGCTGGCGTTTTCTGCCATTTCAGCTGGATGTAAACCGTAAAGAACACTAAAAAATTTAGGTTGGGACAAACAATTACGGTAGATGACGCCATATATGCGAGTGAAATTATTTTGCCGTATATGAGGCATTTGAAGGAAGAAGGTGTCAAACTCTCTGTAAGAAAGATGATGTTAAGAGCGTTGCCTTCTTTTGAGAGCTTCCTGTCAATAAAACCAGAAGAAGTAAATTTCTTCTTTATTAATTTGGAAGGCAGATTGTTAACAACAAGAGCAGAACGTCCACATCAGCGAGACCTAGAACGATTCCGCAATTCTGCTCATCATCAGCGGATTTTATTCAGAGTAGAAAACAAGCAAGCAACACTCAAGGGTACTGTATCGCAAGGCAAACGGGTAATTTCATACAATCTGTGTGACCGTAAAGATGATTGTATAATTAATCACTGTTGCAGGAGAATATTATATTGTATTCACAAGAGCTGTTGTCGATCATAAAGGAGTGGATGCGGAGGTGGAACCTTATGGAAAAGCTTGAGCGTGAGGTACACTAATCCCGCGAAGTACAACTATTTGGTAAGGTTGGTGAGACGTCTGACATTTTTTCTTGTCTAAGAAAGCGTTTGCCATTCAGAGCACTTTGGTCGCACGTAGTGTATTGCAACACCAGCAGGAATGAAGTCATCAATGAAATGATGTATGGAAGCGTGAAAGCTCAAGAAGTGAAGAAAAAGGCTATGTAGCTAACGCTAGGGCTTTGTTTACTTAGGCCAGTTTGGGTTTGATTAAATTAGCATACCTTAGTTATGTAGCAGTCTAGTTTTTCTTTTCGTGAGTGTATAAGACCATAGAGCGTAGTTGCGAGGCATAGGTTGCACCATATCTCATGCTGCCGGCCTCAGGTTGTTAATTGGTTCGATTGTGATTTGATCTTTGTTTCTTTCTCATCGTTTGCAGCCTTCTATCTTGTTATTGTTCTCATTTTTATCATTATCAGCTTCTCCGGTTTGTCAAGTTTTTGATAAACCATTTTTGTTTTAACGGTTGTGCTGAGTCAGTGGGACCTGCGGATCTGTCCGCTTGTTACTGCTACGTTGGAATTTGCACAGGAAACCGACATAACGGGATTGAAAAGCATAGTGGTGGAATGGAAAGGCAGGGCAAAGGAACAATTTTGGGTAGGTCTATTAAAGCTTAACTCACTCTACAAAGGTAAGGGTAGGCTTTTAGATGGGCTTCTACCAAGGCCCGGCATAGATCGTCTGGACGCAGACTGGACCTCGTTTTTAGAGCAAAAAGCAAAGAAGATATCGTTTTTGACGAGTCGGGGCCCAGCACCAAGAATGAGCGCCATTTAATCGGATACAAGCTTTTCGGACAGGATATCACACTATTGACATGCTCTATCGTGTATGGCGAAAAGTGCGCGCGATTTGAAAGCAAGATTAAAATAAACAAATTGCTTGTTTACAGCGCACACAGAATCGTGACACCAAAACTGACCTGTATACATAGAAAATTATTTGCAAAAAAGTTATGTAAAAAGTCTTGAAAACTTATGTGAAGTAATACGTTTTACAAAAATCGTCTCCAGGCGGCCACCAGACAACCTGAGATCGTCTGGAGCATATATTTCTGTCACTTCACATAAGTTTTGGATTTTTCTATCATGGACGGACTCCCCGGTCAAAAATCTATCCCTGAACATGAAGACATTTTCAGATCATTGCCTTTCCTTTGTTTTTTTGCCTTCATTTTTCATATCGCTTTCTGAAATATCGCGCTCCAATGCCAAACTCTTGTGCATGCGTATCGTCGAGTCATTCGTAACTTAACATGCGTAGTGCACACTTTACACGTTAACTGACAAACAGCAAAACTAGAGCCTGCTCATTTCCAGTGATTTCTCCTCGTTTTCTTGTTTCTTTTGTTTTAGTTGGTTATACGATAGTTAGTAGAACGCATTTCTACATTTTGTTAGGCTAGAAGATGTTTTACTCGGAATTTACTAGTGTGGGTGCCGTCGCTAATAAAGCTTAGTGTGCAATCTCACACATTAAGTTACAAATGACTCGAGGTTAGTATTTAGCTCTAATTGGATTTTCACTCTTATCTTATGTTTTTTCTTTCAGACTAGTAAGTCTTTCTTGTTTTGATCTTTTCCTAAGCAAGTAAGTCAAAGGGGACTTCGTAAACTTCCGAAAGTCAAGGGAGGCTTCGTTTTCAGAAACCCTAGAAACCGACTCGTGCCGGGCCCTTTGTGCAGGCATGTCTGCGTTATCCGCCCATATTAGTTAAACGCTACAGACTATGTCCTACCTGATTACTACATTGTCCGGTCTATCGCTCATCACCTGAGAGAACCTCAGCTCACTTACGAAAATGGGAAGAAACGCATTTTAGCCACAAAGTGGGTGTTTTGCGCACACGATCGCGGATGCGGCGGTGCCCTTGAATAGGCCTTTTGACCCTGCCTATACGCCGTGAACATGAGAGTTTCCAACGCTTCCGAGGGTCTCAGGAATTAAAATAAAAAGTGTAACAGAAAATCCACAACCTAATATTTTGGACATCTCTTTGACAACTGAAGATGTACAGCCATCATGTCAGATTTTAACGCATCCTCCCCTCCCCTTGATAAGGAAAACAAGCAGGCTGAGTTGTTTTCATGTCAGAGCAAGATGATAAGCGAGTCTTTTACTGTATTTGCCTTCAGACACACCGTTGCTTATACCAGCTGACTACCTACTTCAGTTTGGCATCGTATTGATAGAAGCGCATTAGGGGTGGGATATTAGATTAGCATTTTCTGACCCCACAAATTTTTTTCTTGCTATATAATTTACTAAGTATGGATACTTGTAATACTTGTTCAGCACACTTGATGGGCAAAGTTCAAACGTTTTTTTCCAAAAATCTTTTCATCTGAGCATAAAATCTAAGGAAATGAAAAAATCACGGGAAAGCCCCAATCTAGCACTATACCAGTAATTTGGCCAGTAGTTTTACTTCCTCAACTTCGAGTTTGTACGTGAAAAATTCCTCATTGAATCTAACACATGTCAAAAATGGCAGATCTTTACCAGTTTCTTTCAATCAAATCACATTTATGAGCAAGTTGAATTCTAGAGATGAATACTGTTGTTTTAATCCTCTGCTTATATCACTGCGTCTTCGGCTACAACTATCTGGTTTACTCACCACTGTTTGGTCACTCGCATGCACATTTTATGGGAACCATAGCTGACACTTTAACTGATGCTGGCCATAATGTGGTGAGTCCAATTTCAAGCAAATTTCATCAGCATCTTCCTATGCAATGAATTTTTCTAGACTGTACTTATGCCTGTGCTCGATCCTGACATGGAAAACATGACTGGACTGAAGTTGACTGCTAATGTAATAAAGGTGCCCGCAAATAATAAGACAGCTGCAATGTTTGCGCAAAAGGCGGAATACACCCCGGGGCTATGGAATCTCGACCCTTCAGCTTATGGCATGGTGAAGGTGAGTCGAGATAAGCTTTGAAGCAATGAAATACATGAGACTTAGCCAATATCTGTGATTCATCAATGTTTAATGTTCTAAATTCTTGGTACACTAAGTTGCGCAGAAAAGCAGAAATTAAGACTACAGCAACCTTTTCATCTACTCGTCACTTTTCTACTTTGTTCAAAAAATGTTTTTGGAATTATCTTATACAAAAAATTGCGGATCGTCAAATGACACTTGCAGTTTGAAGACACAAACACGAGTTTAATAGTAGAAAAATCTATGTTCTGCGTGGTAAGCCCGATAATTATTTGTTTTGTACTATGAACTACAAGTATTATATCTCCACTATTTTCCTTCAATTAAAAAAATATTACAGTTGGCCAGCGGTATGGCGAAGGGCTTCACATTGCAGTGCGAAAGTAGGGTTGTTGAATTCGTTTTGACCACATCATATTTCAACTCTTCCTTCTTTGGAATACTTATATCCATTGTTCTTACAACGTTTCTACTCCGTGATTTCCAGAAGTTTTGAACGATGATAATGTCATGAGCATGCTACGCTCGGTAAAGTTCGACGTAGGTATCTCTGAAGCTTTTGGCATTTGCGGATTTGGTAGGTGACCATTTGTACTAAAAAAGGGCCTATACGCTTACAAAAAATTTCAGGAATCTTTGAATTGCTAGGAGTGAAATCTACTATTGCAGCCGCCTCTATGGTGCAAGCCGATCATGTTTCTAAAATTATTGGGTTACCATTAGCTCCCAGTTATGTTCCAGGTAAAAATTGGACGTAAAAAATATCATCTTTTATTTCTTTCTGACATTGCTTCTTGAGGATCGATGTATGCGAGGGGCGAGGTGAGGAGTGTATTAGACCGTTTGAGGAATGTTCTCGAAACACAAGTTGGCGCTAAATTCAATGAGATTTTGTGCGAGATGGAGACTGCACCATTTCGAGCAAAGTACGGAAAGAATTTCAAGGGATGCGAGGTAGCTTATCTTCTTCATTAAATTGTAAAAAAATTATCTCAATTACTCATAATATAATTAAAATTTACGTTGTGTAAAAGTTAGTATATAAACAGTAATACAGAAGGCTAATTGTTATATTAGAAAAGCTCAAAAGGGCACTCAATATAATTGTCATATAAATTTGTTTCATCCTGTTGATCAGAATATTTCGAAAGCTTGCAAATATTATCAGTCCATCTCTCCGAGTCAGTTTAGGAGCTCCTTGGCCAAATCTCATACCTTTTCACAAACTCAAACCCATACCTTGACTACCCACGTCCGACAATTCATAAAGCTGTCGATATTGGTGGAATTGCTGCATCGCTGGACGCCGAGAAAAACAAACTTCCTCAGGTTTACCTATCAAGCTGTATTCAAAATTTAGATATTATGGTCCTCTTTAAGCATCTGGATAAAATTCTTGATATCCGTTCTGTGAATGTGGTAATTTCATTCGGATCAGTGGTGAAATCTTGTTATATGCCGGAAAACTATAGGTGAGCAATCCCTGCCTCAAACTTTCTGAGAACATCCAGTAGATCTCAAGTTTTACACATTTCCAGGCAGTCGCTTCTGAAAGTGTTCAAAACAATGCCAAATGTGACTTTTATATGGAAATACGAATTGGACGCTTCGCAAGATATGTTCGGCCTTGCGAACGTTTACTTATCTGAGTGGCTGCCACAAGTCGCACTATTAGGTGAAGTTTTTGAATGTTCATTCCATTCAAAATCTTGAACAAGTCCCCTACTAAAAATCTGCTCCCTCTTTGTTCAATTTCTGACCATAAAAATCTTTTCCGACCAGAAACTAACAATAAGCAACTGAAACTACTTCATGTGCTGCAATATCTGGAAGCAGTAAAAGGGCAGATGGAGAGATTGAACCGTGAAAAGCTTGGGGTACATTCTTGTTGACGAACCTATCTGAAACTCTGCAATATAGTGCGCGTGTTAGCTTACCATAAGTCCTCAAAACGACTTCCAATCCCGTTGATTTCGAAAGGGAAAAATAGAAAAATTTGAAAAAACCCGTTCAAATGCTATACACTATCATAAATCTACCTACTTTTTTAACCACTGCATTCTTTGACTCTAGAATTTTCTTGCACAGTTGTATCATAAAATGTAAAACACTGCGACGCTTATTACTCGTCATCATGTTCGACTAGAAATGATCACCGCATCTTTTGCTTTTAAAAACTTTGAAAAACCGCTTGCTTCAACAAACAGCAAGTTTAAGAAGTTTCCAAGCCCTTGTTCATTTTGAATGAATATCTAAGGAATCTGTTAAGCCCTTTCGATAATCGAGGTAAGGGGCGTTTTTATAAACACTGCGAATCGCTGTTATTAACAAACAAGCTCCAATCTCTTGGGATTGTAACGCTTTTACAGCACAAAGCTCAATCTCAATATTCATGAAGCTGGACTCGATTATCATTGCCCACATGAGGCAGCTTAGGCAGCTTTTGAACAGCTTTTAGCTTTTCCCTAGTAATGCAGTCGAGGCAAGAAACTTCCAATGCTTTCCTTGGAAACTCCGGGTGTGTAGTAAATTCAACATAGTCAATTCACGCTAAAAGTATTTTATGCGATAAATGAAAGTAATCAAAATTGAAATTTTAAGCGATTTCCTGCTTGACTTGATGATCTGAGTTGGCGATTGTGTAGGGTGCTCCACTTAATTTTCGGAGGTTGACGACTGCGGCTGAACAAGAATCAGCCCTGTAAATTTATTCTAATTATGCACACTGGTTTACTGATGTACAGCCGACATACTGGCCACATTAGAGTTTTCTGAAGTTTATCGAGTTTATTATGAAAAAGCGTAATAATCATATGGTAAGATTGGAGCTAGCCCGCCGTCAGCGATTACGAGAGTTTATGAAAGGCCCTTTGCCTCATTTATCGAAAAAACTCATTGTTGGCTATCATTTGAACTGAATAAGAGCTTGACTCCTCAAACCAGGTGCAAGCTGAAGCAGAATGGCTTTTGATGCTTTGGAAGCAAAAAATGCAATGATTTCTATCTGAATGGGAACCAAAGGTCAAGTGGCAAATTTTCCAAAGTTTAGGACGCTGTACATAAAATATTGAGTTAAGAGTCAAAATGTAGGATTAGTTGAAAAAATAAATGGATTGATAATTAACTTTTGTGTTTTCTTCTTTCGAAACCAGCGTTATTAAAGGCCTTGATGATTAATGGTAAGCTAACATGCGAACAATACAACTAAACTTCGGATTTGGACAGTTTACCAACAAAACAAATTACGGCGATTTGTTAGGGTGCATATGAGGGTGACGGTGTCCAGCACTGTATATAAGGGTAGGACGCACAAGTGGCACGCTGCACGTCGGATATCACTTTCAAGTTAGAAAACGGATATCGTTTTTGCGGGATTGCTGGAATCGTGGTTTTGAGAAACGTTCACTAAGCCCGTTAATCCGACAAAATTTTGTCGTTCCCTCCCCCCTTTCGCCTCCCCATTAACCTAACAGAGATTCTTCTATGCGGTCGCAGCACAAGTATTGATACGTGCCACCCTAACCTCTTCCCCTCTCCCATTTTCATCTCTTCTCGAAAAAGACTTTTGACGGGAACACTTGTATTCAAGCAAATGTATATATTTTCAGCCGATCCTAGGGTGACAGCATTTATTTCTCACGGAGGCCTCGGAAGTACCACGGAGATTGCACATATGGGTAAACCAGCGATTATGGTAAGAAACTACACTTGGCATAAAAAAAATCATGCTTGATTTCCATGCAGGTACCACTGTTCGCCGACCAGACTCGCAACGCTAATATGCTGGCAAGACATGGCGGAGCTTTGGTGTTAGACAAATACGGTTTGGCTGATCATTTCTTAGTAAGAGAGACAATTCAAAAAATCATTACAGATGAGAGGTAGTTATTGAATTTTAGATGTTTTGCTTCCTAACTCAAATGTTTAGCTATGCCACAAAGGCTCGATTATTGGCGGATATTCTTGTCAACCAACCTATCAGTGCGAAAACTTTGATGATCCAACATGCGGAATTTGCAGCCAGGTTAGTATTGAGCTGACGTAAAAGTAATGAGAATTACTGTGGACTTATTCTAAACGCTCTAAATTGAGATTTTGATAAGTGAAGGTGCGTAGCGTTAGCCACTCGCTCCGAACTTTTGAGGTGCTTCTCATAATTTTTGCCGCCCTATAACCCCTATAATCTAGCAAAAGGAGGCGTTTTGGCAGCCGCGCCCTTGAACCCCCTTCCCCCCCCCCCTCCCGCCCCCTCCCTCAATCCACCACTGGTACGCACATACATACAGACACTACACCTCACGCTTGACCCTAAGCATGGCCCACAGTCTGCTCGAATTCCGCAAACATTGGCGCTTTGCAACAGTCATCAGTCCAAGAGCCTGCTCGGTCAGCGCTGCTGGCGCAATGCTACTTTGGCATCGAGTCAGGTACCTGTCCTCATCCCTTACTCCTAGGCCACGCCATGTCACTATAGCATCGTAGGGTTTTTGTGGGCACAAAATTTGCAAAGCGCAGCATGTTTCTTTGCTTTTCTCTTCACGATTCCAACCACACATTTACATCCTCGTACCAAGCCCCCGTGGGATATCAGTAACAAGCTACGGTCTTCATTTTAAAATTGATTTGCAGATTTAAATGCCAAAGCTTCTTGCTCTCAGCAACCTACAAATATTGGCAGATTCTCACAGCGAAAGTCAAGGGATTTCATTTGATTTGTCAGTAGCTATTGATAAAGCTTCGAAGGCCAGAAACTATAGTACAAAGTTACAGGGCTCCTAAATTGCAGAGTCGTTTGCACCAGCGGTCGCACGACCGCGTCGCGCCCAGGCATTTTGCCGGGGCCGGCGCCATTGATGCCCGGGCGCGACGCGGTCGCGCGACCGCGTCGCGCCCAGGCATTTTGCCGGGGCCGGCGCCATTGATGCCCGGGCGCGACGCGGTCGCGCGACCGCTGGTGCAAACGGCTCTGCAATTTAGGAGCCCTGTAGCTCTCTTTCGATAAAGCGAGATATGCACCATGTTTAGAAAAAGGTGAACTTTGTACGCGCTCTATATTTTCTATATGTAATCGCTTGAGAAAGGATAAAAATTCAGCTCAGTTAGATGCTCCACGCTTCGGTCCTTCTGGAGAAGTTCCAATCAATAAGAATTTTGAAGACTTCCTACATCTTGATTTTTAAGTCGAATATGCTATATAGTCGAACCTGTGCTGATCGCTAGTCTCAAATCTTGACAAAAGAAAGATCTGACAGGAACTTATAGCGCTCTAAACTAAGTAGCAAAACATTCATTGCGTTTGCGCAAAACTCAAAATAATTTTGTGCCTTCTTATCATTTAACGTCAAATGAATTTCAGATTTGGAAGGATACCAAACTTGGATTCACAGGGTCGCCACCTTTCCATACTACAACACTACCTTATTGACGTGTTCACTGTAGTGTTGGCCGTTTTAGCTATCACTCTTTCTACTATTTACTATTTATTGAGGATTTGTTGGCGATGGCGAGTAAGCAAAGCGAAACTCGCATAATAAACGGCTTTTGTAAACAATGTATTCCTAGTTCTTCAATAGGTGAACAAATAAACTTACCGCTTTTATTTTTTCTCCAAACAGATGTTCTTGCACTTTTCGACAGATGTCAAGGCAGATAATCGTGAACCAACAAAGAAGGAGATACTGTACCAATCAAATGAAAAATCAACCTCAGGATAAAACATACCATTAAACTCAAATTAACACTCACAATCGCAACTTGTAATACTGCAATTCTATCAGTTTGCTGTGGAAAGACATGTCGTGGAGTTCCACATGAGCGGGCCGCTTGCAAGAGCTAACAATGTTTTGGGATCGCGCATTACTGCAAATGTATGCGTGGGACTTCCTTTCGGAGACAAAAGTCTAATAATCCTGTGGAATGAGCTAGAGCAACTTGTTGCAACACTCTACTAATGTCAGAGTATAGATGTCACGTAACGGTCTATATCCAAATTCCTGAACACTTAAAAATAGTTAGTTTCGCGTCAATTAACATTAGGATGTTATTAAAAATTTTGCCATAAAATCTAACCCTGCCATAGTGTGTTCGATCAAAAGTGTGTAAGACGAGACGTGCACACTTTTCTCGTTCGCTTAGGCAATTTACAAAATTTCTATGGACTTTTAAAGCTAGCTGTTCTTTGTGATGTTTGGGCAACCGTCTTCGCTTCAAAACTGCGAGTTTCCTGTGCTTCATATCTTGCCTATTTCTTTACACTTTTCTAAAAATTACTTTTTTCTAACATAAACTCAGAATCAATGGGTAAGAATAAATAATCCGCAACGTCTGAGAGAGCATGGAGAAGGAATTGTTTAAATGATGATTCTTGTTTCAAGAAAGAATGCTATACAGCAAGACTTTATTTACTGCAAAACTCTACTTAACGAAAACGTCATAATCTTCTGTAATATGAATTTGCTGCTTGGTCTATTTATCTGCTCACACTCGAGATCTTAAGTTTTCCAACGAAGACAGCGGTACGGTCGATTGTAATCTGGAGCTATACGACAGTCGCGGAGCTTCTCTATCTTGTTGTTGACTGCATTCCAACCGCGCGACTTTGGCCATTTTCGCATTTGTTTTTGTATCCAGGCGGCGCTTTCTTCTTCGCTTTGCTGTTGCAAACACCGGGATTTCGCAAGGGATTATAGACGTAGGCACACAACAGTCACTGCTTGAGGTCTCTCCGCAAAAGCGTATGAGTGAAATCTCAAACTCCTGCAATGATATCGATATTCACACTAAAGTAAAAAATGAAGATTTGTTGTCAGAATGGTTGTTTTTTTTAAATTGTTTTCAAAAAGAGAGGGTTACCAGGTGTCTGAAACAAGATCAGTAAATTATACGCTTTTTGGTAATTGAATGATGAAATTGTTCCAATTATTAGGTTGGCGGATAATTTCTGTTACACATTTATTTTTATTTTTCAAAAATCTAAGAAACTTTCGAAAATTCTTATGCTTAGGAAGTGTTGGCGGGGTGCAAAGGCCTACCCGCCGGCGATGTGAGATCCGCGATCCGTGCGCAAAACGCCCATTCTATTGGTGGGAGTACATTTTATGGACCATTTGTCAGCGGGCTGGCATTGTTCCAGGTGATTGGGAGGAGATCTGGCGATGTAGTATTTGGGCAGGGTATGGCCCATATCAGCGAACATAGAGGGATGGCACAATCAAGTCTGCACACGATCACATGAGCTACATGTTGCGCCATGTCAGCGCACATTGGCATTTTGACATGAAGAAGAGTCTTTGAAAATTTACAAAAATTATTTCCAAGCTTTCCGTATCAAATCCTATACGATTCACACAAAAATGAAAAATTTTCGACGAATTTTTGATTTTTTGAGTTGTTTTTCGCTTGTTTTTGGCGTGCTAACGGCACCTACCATGAAAGGGACGATGCGAAAATATGTTTTAAAAAAATTACGGGAGAGATGAAACACAATTAGACGCAGAGAAAAAAATCAAAGAAAAAGTGACAATTTTAAGTGTGCTTATAAACTTGTTGTAAAGTTGCTGGCTAATTGTGCATTTGCGGCATCAATCATACTGCTGTGTACGCCCTGCCGTGGCCTACATATGGAGCAATTTTGAAGAGTCTAGAGAACTTCTGAAACATTTCAGAATTTTACGAAAAAAGTGTAACAGAAATTATCCGCCAACCTAATAGATAAACCAAGATTATCATGCCTCACACATAGTGCCACCAGAAACCGTGTCGTGGATAATGTATATATATATATATATATATTAATGATACAGTAATTGTGTTTGAAACCCTTTGAGTGCAAGGCTTTCGCTGATGTATGTAAAGAAACTTTCTGAACACAGAATCACTACAGGCTCCGAGCCAAGGCCAAGCATGGAGCCAGGCACACATTCTCCAAAAACAAGTCCCACCCCGTATGCCTATTTGAACTATCTCTCCTTAATCATACTCGCCTATAGAATCTCGCTGTGTAGCCTCTGAAGAAAATTAAGCTTAACTGGAAATTTTTGTTTTTTGAAATCTGTACGCCTGGCTTACTGCTACTGCAAGAAGATGACATAAGCGTAATTGTTATAGGCATGCTTGGGCTCCTTCAAAACCCATAATTATCCCGAATAAAGAGGATTTCGGAGATTTTTGAAATGTCAAGAACAGGTTTTGGGTATACGACATTTACTGAGAACGGATATGAGTGGATTCTGAATTAAGTGGATTAAGCATAAGGCTACAAAAGTTCCGGCAGTCTGGCCTTTTGAAGAGTTCGTGAAACCTTAACTCTATTTCGGAAAAAGCTATTTCAAGTACGTTTATTACCATTGAGCCCAAAGCTTGTTGATTCCATGTTAGGGTTAGACCAGACTTCGCGGCGTACGCAACGTACGCTCGTACGCATACATGCATAAAGAAATGGGACGTACGCTCCGTACGTTGCGTACGTAGAGCACGCCGCGTGGTCTGGCCCAACTCTTAAGCGCTCATAACTGTTTCGTTTCCATTCAGCTTCGCAGCACTTAAAGGCAGTGTCCGGGCAAGATGGGAGTTTTGGGATTCCAGTGCCATGCGAGACTCAGACACTGGGACCGGCCGAGCCGCGGCCTCAAAAGCCCTTTCCGGCCCGTCCGCGGCCTTAATTTGTGGGCGTGGCCGGAGTGCGGCCGAGCCGCGGACCTTAATTCATGTAGTAGTATTATTGCACCGGCCGAGCCGCGGACTGAATATGGCTTATCGGCTCAGCCGCGGCCTTAATGATGGGGGTGGAACATTGCATCGGCTGAGCCGCGGCCCATATAAGATAAGGTCCGCGGCTCGGCCGCTCCCAGAATCTAAGCATAAAGAATACTTGCGTGATGTACGACGCATAGCCTTCGAAGTCCTTCCACTCTCCAAGGCGGAAACAAAATCAATATGCTGTACATCCTTGGATAGCATCTTGTGTTGTCCAATGTTGAAGTCGGACTTGGTACCCGAAGCCGCTATACAGGTGGCTTCAAATGTTGTTTTTTTACTGTGTAATTCTAAGTACCAGTGAATAAAAAAACAGTTCTACTGTATCCGAGCTGAATGAACTAGACGGCCCGACAACCAGCTCCGGTGAGCCGCGGACCATTCACCGGCTGGCCCGCGGACTCTGCGAAATTCCAGCCGGAAATGGGCCGCGGACCGTCCCAGTCCGGTCCCAGTGTCTGAGGGGTGGCCCCCTCAGACACAACATCGCGCAAGTGCGACGTCATAGCGCTCGACCTAAAGCAAGAAAAACGACCGGAAAGTGGGGAAACTTACGCCTTGGGGCGGGGTCCTCCCAGCTGTCCGAATTCCTGCTATGCGGCAGAATACGCACGCAGGACACAGTCGAAATGTAGGGTCCCGCAGAGACTCTGCGTCTCAGCCTTGGCGGGGACCGTCGAATTTCAAATCATAAGGCTTTGGAAAACGCACGTTCTCGCCGTTTTCGCGCCTTTTAAAGTGGATTTTCGGATTCAGTGTTGCGGATAACCCTGATAAGTGGATTTTCTAAAAATCGATTTTGCCCGGACACTGCCTTTAAGATGAACGCGGTGATCAATGTTTCGACAATACTTCTAAACCCTTTGGCTTGTAGCAGAATTTTTGGCACTAACTACAAATGATATCTCGATTATACGAGTGGAGAAAACGTTGACCATTTAATTAGAGTTGAACATGTTCAAAAACATGATTATTCAAATCCAATTTTTTGGTTATTCTCAACATCGGAATAACCGAAACTGTAACAGGTAATGACTGAATAGGGCATAAACGGCACACTACGGTTACGAAAATCACACTTAATTGGCAATTGTATGCTTGAGGCGGGTGTACGGTAGAGGTTGAAATCTTGTGATCTGCCGAAACATCGCTAAGTTTGTCATTTGGTATGCTGTTTTTAACAAGCTAATTTTATTGCGGGAACTATTGATTTTTATCAATTGGGTGCTTCCCTATATCACTTTTTTCAAATGGAGAGTGCTTCCATCACCTTCTTATCAAACTCCCCTTCCTACCCTTGGCACCCATTCGCTCAATTTCACTTCCAGGATGACCCCAGGCCAGGGGCTCCTGCCGTGCGCTTGATCCTGTTTTTTGCGACAACTTTGAATGTTCTCTGCTAATAGGTAATTTGTACGACTAGAAACCAACTCGATTTCGATCCCGTTGTGACTGCGATTCGTGAAATATATTATATGAAAGCCAATGGCAAAGATCCTCAACATTGTCTATATGAGCAGTGGCTATAACTGCACCTGAGTTGTGTGTTACAGATGTGGAAAATATACCACCCTGAGAAACATAAATGATGTGAAGTCTACCTTCTGAGTGGCCGTGCATGTGAGAATCAAACAGTGTGAGTGATGAAGCTGCACGCTCAAATACTACCAAAACAGTCCTTTCGAAGGCAATCAACAAAAGAAATAGACGCAGGTCTCGAGATAAGGCTGGGCTGAAAACTGTAAATCAGAAAATTCCTTTCACGCTCCACATTACCTGCGAATTACTGCCCATATGTAAAACGGGAGTTCGGTATTCAGAGGTCCCGGCACAGAACAAAAATCGATTTCCTGAAAGAAGTGAGAGGAAGGTGAGATAAGCCAAGGCTTGAAATGCTGATAAGGAGTCCTCGCAGCCGAGTATTGCGTAAAAATTACCTTTACTGCATTTTTGCACGCGCGGATTGCATCTGGAATTGTGAAATTTTGCTCCCCATTCCCTCTGCTTCTTACGGCCGCTTCGTGAATGATATTGCCGTCAACAATTGAATTTGTCAAGCAAGAGATCACATTAGGCGGACACAACTAAATCTATGTAATTACCACTAGCTTGTTCAATAGCTTTTTTAGTACCGCATTTGTGATTGCTTTAGGGTCTTTGCATACACTCGTGTCTTCTTGACCAGCTGCAGCACGCTTAGTTTCTGAAGGTATTTCATTTGCACGGTGTTTTTCGTGCCTTGACTGTAAAAAGGTCAAGTATAAAACAATATAAGTATACACACTAGACTTTTTGCGGTTCTTTTATCCTGAGAAGTATTTGCTGATTAATGCTGTGTCTTCTCTAATAAGCATTGACAGTAGACGAAATAAGTCCTATCATATTTATGGTTTGCTGAAGGTATCGCCCAGTTAGAGCATAGCTCAAACAAATTAGATAATGGCGGGGATATTCATAAATTGCACATGACATATACTATTCGTAAGCAGCTGACCTTCATGGATTACAGGGTTGGGCCAAACTCCGCTGGAAAAGCGGCGTACGCAGCGTGCGGCGCGTACGCTCCTATGATGCTCCTATACGTACGCCGCGTACGCCGCTTTCCCAGCGAAGTCTGGCCCAACCAATACGGCTAACGGATTGTAAGACGCATTCACGACTAAAGGGCCGGGCATACATCATGCGATTTCATCGCCTCGCGATTCTCTCTGCAAGACAACTTTTACGAGTCCATTGCAAGCTGATCATTTTGCCATTCGGTTGTGATAGTTATTCGGCGCGACTAATCGCTGGCCATTTTTCCCCGGGCATACTTCCTTCACTGAAATCGTCACGATTTGCCCGAACTTCAGCGATATCGCGTCGCTGACTTCAAACGAGCGACGCGACCTAATCGCTAGGATTGGACTTCTTCTCTGGAAGTTTTTATGATCGTTTCCTAGCTTTTTGGGCTGTTTTCTTGTATACTATTTCAAAAATAGTTCTATTTTTTCAGAGTACATTGCTTCTCCGCAAATCGATTCTCTTGCATCTATTTTTGGTGCTATCCTGGACTCAAGATTTCAAAGTCGTAAATTTCGTTCAGACTCGGTCTAGAGGGGTTATTCGACCCGCTGGTGCCGAATATCATGGTTATTTTGTACGGCAGCGCCATTTTCTGGGACCACCATGAGTTTACTGTAGAGGGCGAAAATCGCGGGTTCGCTCCAAATTTGTGTGGGGGAGGGGGTTGTTAGCGCACCGAACATGATTATCATGATGATTACTTAGGAAAGCACCATCTTCTTCAATCTGTGCCAACCATAACAACAATTAGCAATTTTTCGGGGGTCACTTTAAATAATAGAATCTGGTAAAAATTTCATCATGCGAAATGAATACAGTATTCGTGATCAGAACATCAAATAGCTTCACGGCGCAAAGATTCAGGCAAGTCTGTGACCTTGACATCTACCATGTACTCATCGCAACTCAGCATGTATGCCCCAAAATGCGATGCGAGTATGATTTTTGTGATCATCATGTTAAATGACTTCCCTTGACGGAATTACAGCCAAATCTGTAGTTTGTCCCCTTACGTTCCTAACGCTGCCCCAGGAAATGCCGTTTTACCAAGCACAACAATTATGATATCTGGCATCAGTGGATCGAATAACCTCTTTGGACCGAGTTTGAGCAAAATCCGCAACTTCGAAACAGTGAGGCCCAGATACTGGAACGAGTCCAGTTTCAAAGTCATCCTGCGGTTGGAATTGATTCTGGACTACAAATTGAAAATACAAATGAAAAAATCAAGCCGAATGTAATACAAATACTTATAAGTAGTTTGAGAAGGTATAGTATGTGCTCAAGTGGAAGAAAGTGCATGAATCGCCGCAGAAGTATGTCCATGAATAAGCGACTAACGATTTAGTCGCCGCGATCTCGTCGCTACCTGCAGCAAATCGCGACGACCAAAAATCGCGTGGTGTATGCCCGGCCCTTAAGCCTCTTAGCCTCTCTTCCCTAATTTCGCGCGTGGTCCTCAATTTCAACGTTACGCACTCACTCGTAACTTGTGTCAAGTTAAGAGTGATTGTGTTTTCAACTTTTCTTAAAATGAACGCGATGTACCTTTTGTCCGCATTCGAAGTAAGACCGACTCGAGCGGCTTGAATCACGCGCGACATCTTCGCATAGGCTCTGCTCTTACGAAAACGCGCGCTCTAATTCATTTTCCCACACCCTAACGTGGAAAGGGACGATGTTGATCGCTAATCAAAGAGGCATTTACGCGATTTCGGTCGCATCGCGACCGAAATCGCGTAAAGTATGCCAGGCCTTTTAAGGCCTAAAGAGCCGGGCATACTTACGCGATTTCAGTCGCGAGGCGATTTGGCAATTCGCCAGAAGTCTTCGGATCCAACACTAGCAAACTGCACATGCATAGTGTGTATAACTTACGCGGAATTGATAAAATGCCCTATCTTCTGTGCATTCAAACTCTGCTTGCAGTGAGTTATGGACAGTTGGAATATTGCCAAATCGCGTCGCGCCTGAAATCGCGTGAAGTATGCCCGGCCCTTAAGGCATACCTCAGGCGATTTCAGTCGCTGCGCGATACGGCACGGAAACGACTGCTCTTAATTGGTCGTTATCGCCCTTTGTTCGAACAGGACCTGGTCCGTTTGCAAGAACTTTCCAAAAGCTACGAGCCTATGCATCTGAAGACCGCCTATGGCGAATCTGTGAAAATCTGGCAGAACGCCAACTCGCATGAACGTCGCGATTTGGTCAAATCGCGTCAGGTATGCCTTAGGCCTAAGCGATAACACACAATCTGAAGTCAGGCAATGCGTAGTAGTCTGCGTGAACATACAACTGCGAGCGTTCAAAGGCAGATTTGAGGCCATCTACTAAAGGTCAATACTTCAGTTGTTGAACTGATTGTTACAACAAGCTTCGCTTCAAAACTCGCGTTTCCAACACGCGAACACTCTCTTAACTAATACGTGTTCAAAGCCTCGTTCGAAACATTGGCTCTTTTGTTATCTAATTTATGAGGATTTATTCAAGAAAAAATGTCGAACCTGAAGAGAGCGAGGTGCCTTACTTTTAATTCGCTCCTCTTCCTTGAGTGGTTGTTCTAGTTACTTACCTCAGATTTGTACACAGGCACGGGCATTCTTGTATTTGTTCTGTGGATGACTTCTGCCATACGCACAGCAATCACTGTGCAAGCGTTAGATGGAGAACTTCTACCTCCCAATCTACTTTGCGATAATGCAGTTGGCATTCGCCAAACAGATATGCTATCCTAAAACATCACTTATATGTTTTCAATCCTAATTTCGATTTCACAGTACACTACAACCAATCATTGCAGACTTGACACCACATCAGTGGAGTTATCATTGATCGGAAGAGTTTTCTGTACATTTTTGAAGCCCATAAAAGAGCTGCAAAAAACTTGCACTCCGGATCCTTTTCGCGCTATCTTTTGTTAGGTTGCATCTCCGGGATATGACGAAATTGTTGTGCGAGCTCAATCAGCAATCTAATCAAGGTCTCGTTCTGTGAATTTCGAAAACCCTTCAACCGCAACGCGAAAGCTTGCCGAGCAGCTCATCCTGACTCCTCTTGCTTTAAACATTCAGTTGGAGGTAACTGTCAGCACGTCCAATATGATCACGTTATTTTTTTCTATAACAATGCTGGCCAAAAACTATAGATCCACTCTAAAAAGCCGTGACTTACTCGATCGTCAACGAATTGATCGAAAATTTGGCACATCTATGTGTAGGTCAGTCTACTATCAGCACTCCAGAGCGGTTCCAGTTTTCGTTCTATTATGCACGAAAAATCTATAAATGTCGGAAAAAGCAAGCTCGAAGGTTGGCCAGAACTGTAGATCCACCCAAGGTTTCCATCTAGCAAAGTACTTCGTCTCTTCCAAAGTCATTCATGTAGATTTGTCAAAAGTGTAAAACAACTCCTATAATTAAGTTGTGCTACACTTTCAAAAAAACGCTTACCTGCTTTTTTAGCTTGAAGATATTTTTGAACGATTTTTGACCCTTGGAAATGGATTTGAGTGAGAAATTTTGAACTTTCTTAGCTAACTCAGGAGCGACAGGTTTTTTTTTCTATTTTCCAATGCTTAGAAACGAAACACTTAGAGAAACATTTGACTTTTTGCCATTAAAGGGATCGAAATTCGACAACCGTAGGCCCGAGCTCAAATTTTGCCTTCAAATTTCTGCATTTCTCTTGTGAGGGCGAATTGAAGTAGAGACATTCTTTGTATAAGTGGTAGTTCGTATACCATAGTTCCACAATTCATACCTAGCATGTGGGCATAATCGCCGAAATCATCCTACAGCTTTCGATTGCAAGTAAAGGGCCGGGCATACTTCACGCGATTTGGCAATTCGTCAAAAGTCTTCAGATCCAACACTAGCAAACTGCACATGCATAATGTGTATAAGTTACCAGCGGCGATTATGCGTACCGAGGAGGACCTTCCCCCCCCCCCCCGAGAACGGGTCGCACAATTTTTGAAGTTTACTTACGTGGGTTATGAAAATGTGCAAATGACTTATTTGTTCTTGTAAACAAATGAAACAATTCTTAAAATTTTTTAAAAATTCAAATTAGCCTTATAGCCACCCCCTCCTCCGAGCCGTCCTGGGTACGCCACTGTAACTTTGATAAAATGCCCGATCTTCCGTACATTCAAAATGAGCGTACAATGAGTTGTGTACAGTTGGAATAATGCCAAATTGCGTCGCGACCGAAATCGCGTGAAATATGCCTGGCCCTTGAGCCTCGGGTTATTACTGACTCTGTCCAAAATCATCAAGAAAATCATGCGCGGTAGTATGCAATATATTCTTTTTTTCACTATTTAGTCCATTTTAAAATTACGCAAGACTTTCATTAGTCTGCGCAGCTCATGTTTTGGAATTGAAGAAAAAGGGATTTGTGCACAACTATGAGTATAATGCACAGATTTCTTTTTATTGAGAAACCAGTGCGTCACCTCTGCTTCGCAGAGGTTCGCACTGGCTCTACTATCCATGCCTTCTTCGTGGTCGCATAATAATGACTTTGAAACTCACCGCGCGATGCTGAACATCACGAATGAATTGTAAACAACCATTCATTTCTAGAGCTTTTCCATGTGAGATCGGTAATTTAGGAAGAAAAAATTTTCCCGCAGAAAAACAAATGCGATTTTGAATGGCTTACTAAATTTATTTAGGCTTTATAGTCGCCATAAGGATAAAGACCACCCTGGGCTACATATCTATTCAAAAATCCTCTCAATTTCTATAGTAAAATTTGGCAAATCGACAATTTGCTCAGTTACATCTTTTCGGCGCCAATTTCGTGTAAAGTAGACTTTTTGCTTACTTTTTGAGCTGAAGTCAATGTTTTTTGGATTCACTTGCTAAACAAATCAGACTTTGCAAAAAGTCCAATTACCGACCCATTTTGGCGAACCAAAAGTCGCGTGGATCCGTTTGACGCACAGTTTTCGATGGTTCCACTTACTGGATCGGCTTGTGGTTTTGCACAGTTTACCTACACGCTGACTGGGTGCTATGACCAAAATTCTAGATCAAGACGCTGGCTGCAACTCACTCTGTGAATTTCGTGACAGACAGACATACACACACAGACAGACAGACGCTTAGCGCTCATTATTAGGTTGGCACATAAATTTTGCAACTTTTCCCGTAACTTTTTTCCTATTCTATGTAGCAATCTCATTTTGTGGCATCATGTAGATCGTGATGTAAGCTGCAAGTCTGCGCAAACCGTTGGATTTTTGATAACATAGTACAAAAAATCTAAGCATTTTTTGAAAACTGCTGAAAATCGAGGTTTCACGATTTTTTGGCAAACATGAAGCCCTACGAGACCTGATTCAAACATATGAAAAAGCAATTATAGGCAGCATGTAGCTGGAAGTTGGCACATTGGAGTCAGTGGAAAAGAAATGAAATTTAAACACAAATTAAGGTGGGACGCCTTTGAGAAGTTGAACAAGTCAAATGCGTCAAGTTTTGAAGGCAACTTGTCGATAACTGAGCTGCGAAAAGTCAGAATTCGCTACAACTTTGCACTATGGGGTAATCCTATGCGGTAAACACGAATATTACATTTATTTGTCGTTAAAATGAAATTCATCTTTTGATTTCACGAACGAGGCCTTTTCATGCGAAACGGATCTCATTTTTGTGATCAGCATGTTAAATAAGCCCTATAGGCCAAGTTTCAGCAAAATCTGATGCATTCTAAAAATTTTCCCACGGTACCGTAAGCCTACCGTAATCCTCACATAAGATGGTAAAATTTGGCAAAAATGTGTGCATTAGAAGCTTACATCATATTCCTTATATTGCCAAAAAATGAATGCGCTACGTTCAAATAGACAAAAGTTATATAAAAAGTTGCATTACTTATGTGCCAACCTAATATAAGTCATGATGATTCTATTTCATCTTGAGCTCACAGCGATAACGCAAAAAATTCGAAGGCAAAAATTTGAGCTCGGCCTGCGGTTAGGTCGAAACTCGTTTCGCTTTAACAGCGAGAAGCCAAAGTTTTTTCTCCTTACATTAGAACTCAATTCGCTAAGCATAGAAAGATAAAAGGAAATCCGTCTTTTCTAAATCAGCTGAAAAGCTGCAAAAGTTCCCACTTGAACGCATTAAAGGCAGCGTCCCGGCAGATTCTCGACGGGTTTTCTTGCTTACATCAATGAGTGATTGGCGGCGCTGATCCCGAAGATCCACCTTGAAGAGCGCGAAAATGGCAAAAACCACCATTTCCTAAGGCCTCCCATTTTGAATTTGGACGAGTGGAGCACGTCCCCTGTGGTTAGAGAGGCAGAATCGTTGCAGATAACATTGCGGCATGCCCTCTCTGACGGGTAAGGAGAATCGCAAGCTCGTCCGCGCGTACTAGAATGACTTGCGTGTAACGGGGCAAAGGCAGCATGCTGTGCACTCGGACCTGCTCTGTTCTCATGTATGGGGTGCAAGCAACCTTTCATGTCAAAATTTCGGAATGTTCGGTTTTGGCGAGCTGCTGCCTTTGAAGATCAAAACACGTCTAAAGGTACCTTCAAGCTAGAAAAGCAGGTAGCGTTTTTTAAGGTGTAGCACAGCTCAGTTGAAGCAACTGTACACTTTGACTATGTACCTATATGAATGGATCTGGAAGTCAAGAAGTACTTTGCTGAATAGAAACCTTGTGTGCATCTATAGTTGTCACACCCTTCAAGCCTGCTTTCGTGCATAACAGAACGAAAACTGAAACCGCTCTGGACTGCTGATAGTAGACTGACATACACATAGTATACTTGGGTAATTCGAAAATTTTTCATCGAATGAATGAATATCGAATAAATTCGAAAAGGAAAAATTTCGAATAAACGAATATCGAATAAATTCGAAAATAAAAAATCTCGAATAAACGAATATCGAATAAATTCGAGGTTTAAAAATTCTCGAATGAATGAATTCCGAATAAATTCGGAAAATCAAAAATATCGAATGAATGAATATCGATTATATTCGAACATTGGAAATCGAATTTCGAATTATATTATTCGAATGATTTATCGAATAACTAGAGCAACCATGTCTCAAACTTGCCAACATATCTGGCCAAAGCCGATCCATTCATAATCAGCACCCTCATACCCGCTATACCAACTACTAGCTCAAAATTTTCCAAAAATCGCTGAAATCTATAAAATAGATTTCGGTTTTAATCAACATCCTCTTTTACCCCCCCCCCCCCCACCCTGTACCAACTCCCAACCTCGTAGCTCATACTTCTCCAAAAATCGACAAAATCGATAAAGTAAATTCTTGTCCATAATCAGCACCCTCACTTACCCCTTTGTACCAACTCCCAGCCCCGCAGCTCAAACTTCTCCAAAAATCGGTAAAATCAATAAAGTAAATTTTTATCCATAATTAGCACCCTCACTTACCCCCTGTACCACCTTACCACCTCCCAGCCCTATAGCTTTTTCCAAAAATCGATAAGGTTGGTTGGTTGTCAACTAGTCTCTAAATCAGCCAGACGTCATATTCTGCCTCCCATTGTTGAGCGATCCAAAGAGAGGCAGTCGATATACACACCGTACGGGTAAGAACCGCATTTGTGCACCTCGATCCTGCGACTTTGTTTGACAGCACCTTGCTTGTTTGTCACTATATTACAAAGACAATTTAGCAGAGTAATAGCGAATGAAATTGGCTAGAGTCGGAATTTAAAACTGAGACCCTGCAACTT